TCAAATCCCCCGGGCATCATGCCCACCCAACATGATTAGTTGGGCGCAAGGGAGTGAAGCACGAGCATAAATCACCTGGAAGGCTATTGCCATAAAGTTTACGATAACGAGGCAAGGCGATTGTATGCTCTCCATGACACATGCATCAGTGCTAATGTTGAATCCCCCGACTTCAAAAGCTCTTACACGATAGCGAACTTGTACAAGGATCAAGAGGATTCGATTTACTAGCACTGTTTCCCCGAGAGTCGGTACGACTTTCGAAATTACGGGAGGATTTTCCCCCAGAAAAGGTCGTCGTCCGTGCTGAAATGTCGCAGGCGTTGCAAACTAACCGAGGCCCTGGCAATTCAAACTCCCACGACACATTTCTCTCTCTCTCTCTCTCACAGCTTACTACAAGTAACCTGCAAGTGAACTCCCAGGTCTCTACGAGCATGGGGTCTGGCCACTCTGCAACATGCTGCGCTTATCTTCCCGTGCCAGGGTTCGACATGGCGGTGTTGAAGGCCACCATGGCGTCCTCGCCACCACGGAGACCGCGACGGGCTTCGTCCAGCAAGGACCTGAGAGCTTTTGTTTCCGCGGCCCGGGGCTCTTCCGACCCTTTCCGTGTCTCGAAGGAGCTTTGGGTTCCATCTCTCCTTGCACAAAGACAGCAACGGCCCTCGGCGAGCCCACGACGTGAGCGACGCTCTCTGACTGTGCTCTCCGAGGCGCAGAGCCCGAAGCCAAGAGCCTCGGCGACAAGTCTTTCGGGGGGTCGACATGTGGAAAGGTCCCTCTGCTGTCCAGCAGCGGCTCTCTGAACATGTGCTCATCGCAGCATTGCAGGACGCCTGGCGATTTTCTGGAAACCCAAGTTTGCCAAACTCTTGCATGTTGGTGCAAGCTTCCATCTTTCATCACCTTGTCCTTCGTTTCGTGTAGTGGGTCTGCTTCGCCCGGGGAGGATTCGTGACTGTAGCATTTGCGCAATCTCAGAAGCCCACCTGCAATACATCTTTCCTCCGAAACTTTTCAACCAAACAGTACTTCGGGACTCTTTCTCAAGCTGCCTGGAGGCAGGCGGGTGTCCTCTGTACTTGGATCTAAATCTAGCTGGCCTGCTTTCAGCCTTCTGGAGACGACTCTCTGAGAAGTGCTCGGGGCAAGCACGACAGCTCGTACCGTAGATCCTGAAGCGCTCGCCCTTGTAGTTTAAACCAATTTAGGCTGATTTAGGATGATTTAGGAGCATCGGACCATCGGCCATTCACAAGCCGTCATCCAGATCATGACTTAGAGATGGGGTCATCGCGCGCAGACACGGGCATCGTGACATAGTGTCGCAAGACGCGCAGAGGCCAGTGCCTGGTCCGCCAGATTTGCGCTTTGTGCAGCACGAAGACGCAGCACCGCGCTCTGCCAGGGACCAGAAGCGAGGACCTGAAAGCAAGGCAACAAGGCAAGTAAACTTGTTCCAGAACCTTTGCCACGCTTTGCCAGGCAGCAGAATTCCAGAGCTCCGTCGTGGGCTCCATGCCTGGCAAGGACAAAACGGCTCCCGGCCAGGGCTTTAATCCCTCGCGGCCCCCACCTCGGGAACTGAGAAGCGCCCAGAGTGCTGCAGAGGCTTCCCACTGGTCGGTCCAGTCCAACACGGCTGTGCCCATGTCACTCAAGCACAGCCAAGCCTCGGCGAAAACGGGGCGGGGGGGGGGCCGTGCATACACAGAAACTACTGCTGAGCCGCTATGGTACCAGGAATGCTACAAAGCGGCACTGTTCCAAGCAAAGCCCCGACTGCCGGCGAGAATGCCAACACTTTCCTGAGCTTGGAGTTGGGCGGGAGCTGTCGAGTCGGAAGACTTGAATCCCTGTCGAAAAGCACTTGATACAGTACAGGTCCATGCTCAGGCTTTGCTTGACAGTTGAGGCTCTGCATGTCGGTCGCTGCGTACTCCGGCATGGCCGCAAGCTGCCAACAGCCTGGACACACTTTCAGGGCATTTGAGGGCCGGGCCATGCTTGGAACAGTGAGGACCAAGCCCAATCCCAAGGTCACAGTGCCCTGCCACGTGACGTTCGGGCCGCCATCCACTGCGAGCTACGTGCTGTGGCGCTCAGGCACGAAGTCACGGAAGCGGTGTCCTGCACGCTGCGACCGCTGCGAGGTCGCGAAGTCCTCTCCGTCCTGACTTTGAGGCCCGAACTGTTTCCACATGACGTCGACGGTACCGCTGCAGCAGGCTGCATGCCGTCTCCCAGTCTCCTCCGCACCACGAAGCACGAAGCGCCACGAAGGCTTCCAGGCTTGGGCAATCAAAAGCAGTGGCTGCGACCTCTGGCATCACAAGCGCTCAGCAGCGAGTTCACCGTAATGGCATTCGGTCTCAGCGACCTTCAGCAGCGAGAAAAACGCATCGAGGGCCTCGAGCATCGTGCTGAGGTGCCCACGAAGTCTCCGCATGCGCCAGGACAGCCAGGACATTCAGCCGCAGAGATCCCTGAGCTCAGGCGGAGACTGAGATCACTGCTGGGCAGCGGGCAGCGCCTGTGCAGCACGGCCGCACGCTACAATGACCTGAGCCGGAGAAGCACCGCGTAAACTTCGTGCCTTGAAACGTTCTCGTTGGCAGACAGAACCAGGACTCGGAGTTCGTCTTCTCTGTTCATTCTCTTCTTACAGTATGCCTTGCTTGACGTCTCCTTCATGGGTTCTCTGTGTGTGTGTGTGTGTGTGGGTGCGTGACGGCTCTCTGCAGAAGAGGTTGCAATCATGACTGTACAGCCTTGGTCAGCTTTCTGTTAACTGTGGCATAACCTCCTCTTCTACACCCCAGCAGCTACGTGACTGCACGTTGGGCTTCCGCGGCACTGAACTTGTCTCGAAGGCACAGTGTTGCAAGTCACAATGTCCGGACGTCTCAAGCTGCCTTGGGCGTCATCACTTTCGGTCTCTCACAATGACTCTAGCCGCTAGCCGTCTGCCGTCTCGGAGCCCTTGCTTCTCCGACATCAGAAAACAAGGGATTCAGCAGAGGAGCCTTGACTTTGAACTCCGAAAAAACCGATCTCAGGCTCGCATGCCGAGGAGCTTGGCGACACGAGATCATGAAGAATCTGGAGGGCCGGCTGCCACTGGGTCGCTGCCGAGCATGAAGCGATGGCGGCGTTTAGCAGCGTGGTGTCCTGGCGCCGACGTCTGCAACTTTCCCAACAGATTCGCTGAAAGCTTTGCTGACTTAGCTCAGCCAAGCTGCGAGCTCGCAGCCTCTCAGCCGCAAGGTGGCGGCGCAAGCCAAAGAGAACCTCCATCTAGGCGACGCGGAAACGGCCGCAGTCGCACCCACCGCATCCACCTTCAGCTTATGCGCAAGCAGCCTCCTCATGGTTTCTGCCACTGACCATGAGAGATGAGACGTGATGATGTGCCGAGGTGCCGGCCTTGTCAGCCACGTGAAAGACTATCCGAAATGCATCTTGCCATAAGTCTGAGCGAGCACAAGCCTGAGCAATACATAGCAATTCAACACACCGCGATTGGCCCGCTCTGGTTCTGTGACCGCAGCCCTTCAAGGACACTGGATTGATTGCTGCATGGTCAGCCCCAAATTCCTTGCGAGCCTTGGCCCAGCTGTTGCATGTGACCTGTGCAGTCAGTGCAGTCTGCAGTCGGTTTCGCCCATGCTGCGAACACTTTGCGAGCCTGGCCTGGTCCGGTTCGCCACCTGCCGAACGCAGTGCCGCAACCCTCGCACCAGCGCCAGCCTCAGAGCCGCAAGCCGGGTCCCAGCCGGGTCACCGAACCGAGGCCGAGGCATTCCCCGTTAAATGCAGCCAGGCCACAGCCGCAGCGCTCTCTGGTGCCGTGCTCCAGGCCGCAATGGCGGAATTGTAGCTTTGAAGGTCGAGGCAAACAGGCACCTAAGAGCACGAAAGCGCGGAACCCGCAAACCACGCTTCTGACCGCCTCTGCCTGCTCTGCCTCTGCTCCGGCCTCGAGGAAGCACAAGGCCAAGGCCCACCTCCGCGCTCGCTGGCAGGCAGCGAGCGCCACGTTGCAGCCTGCAAGAGATCGAGATCGGGACTGGATCACGACTTCACCACTGCAAGATGCAGCCGCTCTTACAATTGGAGCACGGCCATATGAGGCTTGACCCTCAACGAGCCGTCTTCAGCTTATTCTATGCGCTCCTGCGAACCAAAAAAACAGATCAGTTTATTGCTGTCCCGCTGCTGCTCGTGCTTGGGCTCAACGGCACAAGCTCCAGAACCTGACTGCGGCTTCAGGCTCAAGACAACCTCGCGTCGAAACATGGATCGCACTAAGCTGGAACGAACACCCTGAGCAGAATGTTCTGTGACTAGTGCCGGCAAGTTGGCTTCGCGCCAGCGGCGAGAGCGTGAAAATGCTGCCAGGGCGGCATCCTTGAGCCGCGTGTCGCCAAGGTCTGCCTGAGCATGTGGGGAGTATTGGCCCAGATGGCGACTGACGGCTACATGTTGGCCGCCGTCCAAGTTACCGGGGTCTCTGCTGCCAGGCATACGGCCCGCTCCCAGAGCGAGCGCCTGGCGAGGGCGGCCACCTGACCCGTTCTCTCGGCGCACGCTGGCCTGATTTGTCAACGTGCTCCGTGCATCTCCGGCAGTCTCTGTCAACAATGGCGGTTCAGATTGTCGCAGCTTGACCCATGAATGACGCTGCAGGCACGCATGCTTTCTTGATGACAGTGACTCGTTACCATGTCGCTGGCCTGGATCCGGGGCTGTTGCGCGTGCCGCTGTCCATGCGCTGCCATGCTGCCCAAGACCAACGCGCAGGTGCGGAAATCACTTCTTCGGAACTGTCGATGCAAGAACCCAACTTTGTTTGGTTTTGCTCAGCACGGGAGAAGACACACATCACGATCGCTGACCATGACTGCCCACTGACACTTACTGCAGGTGCTGCAATGACAGATGCAGGTTGAACCTATTTTTACTGTATAACATCCTGAGCAGAAAGTCCGAGAGAAGTCAATTGTAGCTGAGCCATTCAGACCATGAAGCCATACAGCTCGTGTCTCCCATCCCTTTCCGTCTTGCTCGACACAGAAAGATCGCAGCCAGCGTGCAACAATTGCTTTCACGTGGAAGCCCACATTGATGCACCAATCATGCAGCTCTCCATGTAGTGCAAACATCCCAAACAGACTCGGGCGCGTGCAGAAGGCGATGCCGCCGGCCCGATTAGCCAGGCGAACGCGGCTTTCAAGGCGCACCTGAGCTGCAGTAGCAATATGTGATGGAGTGGCGAGTACCCCACCATACCCCATCTCTTTCCTGCTCACAAGCCCTTTCCCGAGGTTGCTCTACAAATGCAATGAGATGTATGATCTGTGGCACAAACACCGGTGCAGCGTTCGGTCTTGTGCATCTAAGATGAGCTAATTCGCCCGAGATCTCCAAGAGACTTTTTGAAGTGCATCCAATGTGCGAGTGACAAAGAACGCTGACTAACACGTCCCCGAAATCGATGGCTGTCTCGAGTCGACCGCGAGAGCAACAGTGACGGCCAAACGCACAACAACAACTACTTTCTGTGCTGCAAGGCTTGGGCAATCCCTGCCCGTGAAGGGACATCCGTGACCGTCTCTGCCGTCTCTGGTACGGTTCCATGCTGCCAAGTGACCAAACTGGAGTCCCGTGGCCCATGTCCGACAACTGACGACTGGTCCCATAGCTGAACTTACACAACCCTGCCCGTGAATTCCCAAAAGCAAGTTGCACGAATCATGCGACTCACTGACCCCGTATTTATCTTGGGCAGGCACTGCGCATTGGACCTGAGATTTCAGAAGCTCCTTCATGATGCCAGACCTTCTTTCAGCTGTGAGCGCAGGCTACTCGTGAGGCTGCCTGCTGGAAAGCTGTCACACTGATTTGAGCTGATGTTTCCAGCCTTTACTGACTCTCCGATCAATCTCCTGACTACTGCTTTGCAGCTTTTATGGCCCAGACCTTCTTCGAAGGGGACATCAAAACTTGGTATCGCTTCAGCACGTGCAAACACACTTGCAAGGCCAAGGCGAGATCTTTCATGCTTTGTCTGCACTGGCGCTACATCAAGCTTGATCTACCTCTCATCTCCCCAAGCCGTCAGCTGAAGCGATTCGAAGTGAGGCCTTTCCTGTTGAGCTTGAAAGGACACGACCGAATCAAGGCATCAGCACGACAACTCTCGTATTCCAACAAGAATCACAACAAAGACCACACTGCGTGAATCTTGCCGCATTCACTCCCGAGCGCGCAAACGGCCGTTCGAAAACGACACCTGCTCTTCGAGCAGAAATGCGCTGGGAATCTGCATAGAACAAGAGCGGCAAGTGGTTCTTGCACGATCCGGCCCTTGCCTATGCTGAAGAGACTGACATCAGTTCTGTTAGCAGTTGTACGTGCCGCGGCAAGGTTCCAGACAATAAGCAGCGGCCATGCATGAGCACTAGGATCCTGATTCTCAGCGATCCTCAGACTCGCCTCATCGCACAACAGCCGCCGCGAAGCTTCCCGTCGCCACATTGCTAGCTGCAGTGCCGTAGGCCCGGCTTGGAAAGACCAAAGGATCCTCTTGGAGATTCTCGAGTGCCTGTCGGCCACTACGCAAGCAAAGAGTGCTGATACAAAGCACGCGAGACAGGCCTCTGCCAAGCTCGCTGTGTGAAGTCTTGGTGCCATTACTTCTTGTGCAAGCTCCTCCATTGTCATCCACCTCTTCAGGCGCATCCACGGCTTCAAGATCGTATGAGTAGCAGCAGCTCGCCTGAAAACCCGTTTCCGATTGTCGACGATCTTGGACACCTCATTGAGGACGTCCTGACAGGCAGAAGCCCAGGCCGAGCCGACAGAAACCACCCCTGGCCGCCCTGGCCCTCACATCCTCGGGAACATACGGCACGCAGAGCATGTACAAGAAGTACTCGTGAATGTCGTTGTAAAAGATCCGTGCGCCATCGTCTAGGAGCTGCAGGTGAGCCCACTCCTCCACGGGTCCAAAAGGGGGGTCAGGGTCAGGCAGGCTTGAACTCGGAGGGCGGAGGGCCTCGCTGGATCTGAGCATGAGTGGCAAATTCGCCAGGCCCTGAACAGCTTTCCACTCTTCCAACAGGCGGCTAGGAAAGCGCTTTCTGAGACCAAAGCTTGGTACAACTCCTGGAGCTGTGCTGGTGCATTGTCGCCCTCCAGCTTCAAGGCCTTGGACTGAGTGGCCGTGGTACACTGATCTTTGTACAACTACGAGGGGCACAGGCTTTTGGCTGCAAAAAGCACTCTGTGTTGTTTCCTGCTCCTCATGGCCTCGTATCTGCCCCTGGCGGATCCCCACTGCACCCTCCAGGGCTTCATGGCATTGGGGCTTGATCAAGAACATCCTTCCGTGTTCATTTGCAAACCTTCTACTGATGCCTATAACAAAACCCATCGTTATCAACGGCTTCCGCTGTTTCTGTGTTTCTGTCGTTTCCTCTCTGGTCTACCCCAGCAATACCATGTGTTTGTGAGATTGCAAAGCCTCGTGTTTTCCACGAGGGCGTTAACGGAAAGCCAGTGCTGCCTGCCATGTGCACGCCTAGGCCTGAGATTCCGTGGGGTGAATTTTGTAAATCGACTTCCATCCTCTTCTCATTTTCGGTCTCTCACAGCACAGGGGCACGGGCATGAAGGGGGGTCGTTGAAGACGTACTGGCTTTGCTTTTGCTTCGCTGGCTGACTTGAGGAATGATACGTGAGAAACTGAGAAACACAGCACTTTTCATGGAGTGCATTGTAGCTTGCTTTCCCGCCAGAATGCTGCTTGCTTGGGTGAGGGTTAGTGATGTGTCGGGTCTTTCTTTTGCCTGCCCTTGGTCTGGCTCGTCTTTCGACTCCCAAGTCTGGCTGAGTCATCTTCGGTAAAGGTAAAAGAGGACGGAGTCAAATGACACAAAGCCGGAGGCAAGCCACGCATCCAAACAGTCCGTAGGTCTCCTTAGCGAACTTCCGGCATGCACCTCAGTTCGCGTATATGGACGGAGTAGGTCCGGCGCGCCCTCCACGTGCTGACAAGGCACAGGTACTGGCGAACTCTTCGGGGACCTTCTTCCGACCTCCGAAGTCGTACCACCGGACACCCTTCTTCTTCCCGCTCTGTGGCTGCCAGAGAAGGACACGCGCTTGGCCTAAGTGGCTAGCCGGTGGTCTCAAAATGATTTGTTCAATGCTTCTGCAGTCCAAACATGAGGATGCTTCCAGCAGTTCCGTGGAGCACTTTCAAAAAAAGCACTGGGCGCAGAACCGATGCCTCTGGCATCATTGGCACTCATCTCTGAAGGACTGAGATCTGTGCCATCTTCCAGCCTTGTCACTGGGAGGACTCCAGCTCCTGCGTTTGTGTGTGTGTGTGTGTGGGTATCCATGCCTGTCCTGTACCAAACAATGCGAGCGGAAGCAGTGCTGTCCTCGGTAGGTGCTGACTTCACCTTTGGCAGGTGCACGGTACTTCTTGGGCATCTTCGCCTCTTACACAGGCACAGGGGTTTTACCTCTCGCGTTGCTAGACTCGAAGTCTGCTCGACCGGGCTGGAAAAGCCACGGACCAAGGACAAGCAGATTTAATTCAAGAAGACGCAGACAGGAGTTTGGCAGGAGGGTTTCGGCAATTGGTCGTGGTCCTGTGGATACACGGCAGCAACACCACCGAAAGAGAGATTTTCCATGGACTTGGAGGCCACCATTCCACCTCGGACAGCAACTGTAGACAAATCAAGAATCCGTGTCCGTGCAACCCTCCATCATCATTGCATCCTCGGCACTGTCGTCATTTCGCTCCTGTAGGGCAACTGCCCTCCGATTGTCGACCTGTGGCGAACAGGAGAAGCCGAGAGATGACTTGCCCCATTCCATGCCTCCACCATCACAGAGAGCTAGCAGGTGAGAAAGGCTGCGGGCCAAAAAGGGCTTCTGCAGCGCGACTTGCTTCTGCTCTCTCAAGAAAATCTGCCCTCTGTGGCCCCGCTTGCCCCGTCTCGACAATTATGGGAGGTGAACGTCTAAGCTCGCCACGCCCTCTCCACCCAAACCTGCAAGTCAGTCGCACTGTCGTTGTCGAATTGCACTTGCGACGTGCACTTCCAGCTGGGGCATGTGCCGACGAGCTTTTACGCCATGCGCTGAAGCCTGCCATAGACCATGTCTTCTCTGCGGTTCCGAATAATACAGTCGATTCTGAGCACAGTGGCCTTCTGCCAACCGTTTGGAGATCATGTTCTGGAGCACGGCCTTCAGCCTGAGCTGAGCTGGAGGACGGCTGGTGGCTTGCACGAGCGTCACGAGCGCTTCAGAGAGGTCCCTGCGCCAGCGCGGCTCGGCCTCTTCGAGGCTCTCGCCTCCTGCAACAGAACTCGAGAAAGCAGAGAGACAGCATCAGGTGCAAGCCGCAACCATTCCGTCACTGCTTTCTTCCATTGGTTTCCCATCAGATCCTTGGCGATGACCCACTCCGTTGTCTCGACTCTTTGCCTGCCGACGTGTCAGAGAAAGAGAAAGAGAGGCCCATGGCGAGAATAGGGCATGCCGAAGAGCTGAAGTATGTCTTGGCGAACTGGTGAAACTTCGTGAGGTCCACCTCCTGCTAGGCAACTACCAGACAACAAGCAGAAGGTCAGGGCTTCAAGCGTCCTCTTTCTTCTCAGCAAGCCAACGTGACATCCTCAGCTGGTTCTGGAGCCAAGGATTCTTGACTGCCATCATGCGAGTTCGCCACTCAAGCCCAAGCACCTTTCCATGCCTTACTGCTTTACTAATCCCCTGCTTTTGTCTAGCGAAATTGCTTTGGAGCAGTGATCAGGCTGCTGCCTAGACTGCCATCGCCCTACGGTGCAACACTGGCAGAGCCTCACGCACCTGCAGACTGTCGCCGTGCGATTTGCAACAGCATCTAACCCGCATTATCCTCTGGAGCGACAGACTCCACCAGCCAAAGCCAAGATTTCGGCAGCTCGCCGCTACCCATTCTACGCCAGGTGTGACTTTGGCGCAGAAACGCACGCAAGTCACATGCTACACACTGCTGGATAACCAGACTCAGTCACGGCAAAGACTGGCACCGGGGGTGCCAATGCCGGTCTGGAGAAGAGAACACGCCATGCTTTGCTTCTCATGCTGTGTGGAGTCCACAGGTCCTTCTTTATGTTGCAACATCTGATTGACAAGCGTGCTTCTTGAACTCTGCGTCTGGTGGACCACCACACCTGTGATCTGCCTGAGTGAAGGCACGGTGCCCTTTCAGCTAAAGATTATTTGCTCGCTCGGCAGGTTGCGCCGTTTGGAGCAAAAGCAAGCGCATGCAAGTGGCTACACAAGTGGCGGTCTACTACATCTAGTGGTCTGGGCATAGTTGCCCAGTAAAGCGCACTCCTAATGCACTCTTGCGCAGGTTTCAAAAAACGGCCATATGATGTGCTCTCACATCACGATGCAGGCCGGAACGTGCTCAAATAACCTTGTAGTGCACAAGAAGTGCAAGCAGCCCCTGCACGAAACCGGTGATCATCATGATCACCTAGGCGGTCGACCCCAGGAGTTTTCGGGTCTTCTGGGCCTGCCTGAGCATGTATCAGCCTGCCAGCCTGTGATAGTCAAATCCTCTCATGTCGAGGTGCGCAGAGGACTCGCAACCAGTTACCTCTTCTCCTTCTGCGAAACTTGCTGTTGGGGTCGTTTACATCACCACTGCCTTGCCAGCCGTGCAGCTGTACCGCATGAAGCATCCCCCAAAAATAGATCGAGGATTTGACCAGGCATGTCTTGGCTAGGGCAAGCCGCATTTTCGCTTCATCTGGATGGGCTGGTTCAGCTGCAAGAAGAAGAGGGCCGGGAATATGAACCTGGTCCCGCATGCAAACCCTGACCTGCTTGCGCTTCCAAGGCAGATTCGAAGCAACAAGCCTTTCCAAATGCAGCTGCAGTGGCATGATGGAAACACCCAGCGTGGCACCTACCGATTGATGCCACGCTCTGCATGAAATCGTTCGGAGGCTCAACACCCTGCCTTTGATCATCTTGATGACGGCTATGTCCTTGAAAGCCACGCCCATATATACTGAAAGCCCCAGAAGGACAATCGTTGTCACGAGGAAATTGTCCTGCATGGTGGGGCGGGCAGAATCCCCGGCAGTTGCCAACATCCAACCCAGGAGTCCTCCGGGCCCCTGTTTATCAGTGCATTGAATGACGAGCGCATTCGCCTCAGCTGCTTTGGCCCAGTTAGTTGGCTTCGCGTCTCCGTGCTTCGGCTTGGGCCTAATGCAGGATCCCGCTGCGCTGCAGAATCACGTAGCAAGTGCACTGTCATTTGAAAGGCTATCTATGCTGAGGTCAGTTCTGAAACGCATGCGGGAAGTTGAAGACGGTGGACACCTCATGATTAACGATGGCTGCACCAGCAAGTCAAGACCCAAAGCAAGGATTGCAAATTCAATCCGAAGGGTAACTTGACGCAAGTTACCATCATACAAAACCACGAAATCTGGATCATCGGATCGTCCGGGCTGTAACCTCGATTCACGGACTGGTGCCAGGAGAGTCTGCTGTGGTCCGGAGCAACGCACAAGGCGCACAGGCCAACCAAATGCGACCATCCATTCTGCAGTGCCAAGTGGCTTTTGAGCACATTGCCAAGCACCTTTAGGCACGGACGGATGCACATGAAGCAAAAGCGTCCCGAAATTTCAGGTTCACGTAGTTCACTGGTTGGCGACATGCAGACCTCGTCGCCAAAGCGAGCAAAGCCAGCGAGACCGAAAGCAGTGAAGAGCAGCGTGGCAATGCCAAAAGCCCAGAAGCTCACCTTGCCAGTTTTGCAGCGGCTTCCGGCCAGAATTCACAACAGGCTGTGGACATAGAAATAGAAGTAACATCGCAGTTGGGCTTCCTTTTTGGGGACAACACGACGAACAACGAGCTGATAACCATCTCATGACGCGAATCGCATTTTCAGCTTCAAGATGCTTCAAGCTGAATTTGCAGAGCTTGGCACCCGCACATCATACTTACGCAAGGTGAACACTGGTGGGCTTTTAGAATGTCGAGGCGGCTGGACGATTGACTCAGGTGGCGCACTTCTACATGTGGAGCTCTACGACGACAAGCACGCCAGTGTTGTGTACGCTTGCTCAAGCAAGCATGCGGCGAATCTGTGTCAGCAGGCCATCTCCTCTGGCGTTCATGGCTTGCCCCGCACACCACGTCTGGACATCGGCGGACATGAACGGTCATGTTGGACACATGTCCAGCAGGTGCAGACGAACATCGAGAGTCTTCGTGTGGAAGCCAATGGTTGGGAAAACCTTGTCCGTCCTTCAAGGCTATGCCATGTGGGCAACATGGCCTGACCAAGCAAGCACGTTTTGAGATGTCATTCGGCAAAGGAGCCTGGCCCCTTGCAGACTGTAACCTTTTGGAGGAGCAGAACCAGGTACATCAGGGTACATCACAGTCCAACCAGCCACCTCTGTCCTTCCTGCGTGCCTATCTGTCCCGTGACGACAGGAGGACAAAGCCATACACCACCGGCCATCCGTGGTAGTCCATAAAAAATGCTTGAATCTCTGCTGAACGGCGCCCCCCAATCTCCGACACGACGCTCCAGGGTCTACCATGAGGCGAAACGAGATGGACGTCGCCCTGACGTGGATAAGTATGGGGTGCCGGCGTGGAACTGTTCCTCAAAGGAGTTTAGTTTGTGCCCGATGATGGCTATAATATAGCTCTTCCATTTGTTGCTGTGTCTCGTGTTCTGCCTGCGTTTGATCGTGCGAGGAAAAGCTTGCAATGACGCGATCCGCAATGCGACGAAGACGGACATGTTGACCATGCGCCATGTGCTGGATGATGCCGCCAAGTCTCCCTCATGTAATTCAGGAATGTTCTTTCCTTCCTTAGCTGCCATGGCTGGTGTCGGTCAGTGGTTCTGAGCAAGCGCACTGGTAGTCGCAGACTCGGGCGGTGCACTCCAAGCTAGCGCTTTACGCAGGAACTGCGCAAGCACCTACATGTTTGTGAAGATGTGGCCAATTTCAATGCCCAGCTGCAACTCGGCATAGTAGGTCGGGGCGTTATAATGCGCTGAGAATGATCCGTTGAACAAGGCCAGTGTCTTGAACATGTCCAGCTTGACCTCGGAAGGTGAGGCAACTATGTCACGAGCTCAAATCCATTTAGGAGTAGGCTCGATGAAAAGATGTCGCGTGGCGGCGTGGCGCAAGCACATGCACTCACAAAGATGAAGTACGACAGTGAGATGAAAGGCCGCAAAGACCCTGCACATCAAATTGGTCACCTGGCTGCTCTGGAACATGCTTGCCTCATGTCGGCCAAGTGGCATACCACATGTGGTCTTGAAGAGTCTCTGCCGCATGATACTCCTCCTGAGCTGGCAAGCAGAAAGCGAGAGCGGGCATGAGCGGCGTGGCTCTGAGCTCTAGCACAGAAAACTCATTTGGCATGCAGGATGCGGCGTTGGCCACAACATCATAGAAAATGTAGGCCTGAGATCCGAAGGAGCATTGAGGGAAGATGCGCATGAATCACAAGAAGCTCGTGTAAGAAGCCGACGCAGGAGATCGCCGTAATGAACAACCCAACGACTGAGGTGTACTTGAGCGGCTCCAAGTTCTGACATGAAACGACACCCTCGTGGTCCGAAGCATGTGCATTTGTTGCAGACTCTCCAAAATTCTTCAAGCCAACGCAGACTTGGGAAACAGCACTGATACCTTGTACAAGCAAAGCGGGAAAATGCCAAAGAGACTGATAACCTCGGCACAATCGTCGATGATGCACAGACTCGACATGTGCAGATGCCATTACGGTGAAGAGCAAAAAAAAAGCCTGCAAAGAGCTATAGTCCTGTGGCGCGATAATGTGCGATACCTGATGCTGGCTGGGAAAGTGATGCAAAATTGCGCTGCCCACCAAGCAACGAGAATGGAGGATTCTCGACGTCGCGCAAAAATCGAATCCGGCATCAATCCAGATGCGCTCTTTATGCAGAAGTCCCCGATCATGGTCACATACCCTACCTTGGAGCTGAACTTTAAGCAGTTCAAGGAGGCATGCCCATGCCTGAAGCCGATCTTCAGCCTTTCGCACGCTGGGGAGGCCACACAGCTGAAGAGAGTATGGAAGAACAAAACCACATCGACCGTCCTTGCAACTGAGCGAGGAGGCTTCACGACTGGCTTCACGCACACATACTTGCAGCGGATCCCTGCTGGACCAAGGAGCTTTTCGGTGTTCTGGCCCATTGCAGACCGCCAAAGCTCACGGAAGGTCTTTGCCTCACTGGGGGCGGTGGCTGCAGGCGGTGCAGCGCTCCGCGTAGGGACTGAATGTCTTCACTTGTCGGTGAATCAGAGATCTCTCACCGAATCACCTCTTCAAGACATTGCGGTACGTCGGGCAGGAAACATCTGAGGCAGTTGCTTGAGTCTTGGAGCAGCAATACCCGATCAGCAAAAATCCTGAACCAGAGGACTTTCAAAGCTCGCACTCTCGGAGCATCGTGACAGTCCTCCGGTACATACGAAGGAGGAGAAGAGCATGATCAGCAGCCCTCCAAGGACGGAGGCGTACTGGAAGGCCACACAGACCTGAACCGATCGAGTTTCGAGCTCATGGACAAAGTGCTCTTCTTCCCGCTCAAGCACAGAGCTACGGCTTTCATGAACAGCTCAAGCTGTGCTGCACGCAAATGCCAAGCTATGCATCTTGAACACGTTTGACCACACCATTAATTACCACATTTGTGCAGAACTTTAGTTCACTGATTCACGTAACTTAGGAATCTGTACTGCAGAGGCCGGCATGCCCTCCAGGCAACTGTGTCAGAGCGGGGCTCATGCATGTTCACGGCATCTGCAGCCAATCAGGCTCCGCGTGAATACAGCACGAGCTGCTAATCGTGCCGAGGGCTATCAAGAATACTGAAAGTGCCGATGCCATGAGCCAGGAGATGATGTTGACGATTGAACATGTTGTGTCCATGGGCAGGTTGATCGTGGCCCTTGCGGCTGGGCATCCTGCATTCAGAAGGCCGGCACCGACCATGTTCTTCAACAGGTTGATGACCTGGGTAACAGACGTCTTGAACGTTACACCGTTACGCGTTTGCATTCTCGAGGCCACCACCGTAGCCGTCACAGTGGATCCAACTTCCGTGGGCTGGCGAGAAGTGCACAGGCTGCTAGCCTATCGCCTACGTCGGACACATCTCGCTGCCACCGTGGCCTTGTTGCCATTCTTCCCCAGTAGAGGCTTTGTTATATCCGCTGTCATGGCGCGGCTGACGCGCAGAGCGCGACTCCCGACTTCCTACTTGCTCCCTGACCAAAACAGCGTGGCATCAAGGAACTCCGTCTGAGCAACTAAGTGGGCGGAACCTAATCATGCACGGCCCAAATGCTTGCATCATCCATGGCCAAATGCTGTAACTAAGTGCTCTTCAGCGTGGGCAGCACAGCAGCTGTAAGCTCCGCACGACACCTGAAATGCGATGATTTCTCGCCATTCTGCGGCAGTCTCCTAAGGAAACACCAAAACGTTTTCTGGGGCATTCACAACATCCCTCCTACAAGAGGTAGCTGAACAGCCCAATCCTCGTACGTATGGAGCAGTACATTTTCGAGGAGAACCCAATTGCCATACGACTTGGTGCCATCGCTGCTCCCACGTATTGACTTTGCACGCAAGGCCCGACAGCACAAGTGCTATCGGAATGTTGGGGCACGGCGATATCCAAAGGATGCATGAACTTCTTCCAGTGTTTTGGTGTTCTGCATCCTGCAACTGCCATGGAATGATGAGCGGCGCACGCCAGATGTAGATCGGGGCTTACGACCAGCGTGGCGTCCGATCAAGATGTTGATGTGACCGTCTGGATGGCTTGGTGGACGATCTCCCTCATACACCCTGGTCTCTGTAATGGGCCGCAAAGGTGGTTGTGTTCCTGTTGCGTTTCACAAGCGTGCGTGCGGCACTGGCCTCCGGCATTTTGGAACAGGAACCTGCGAGCTTTCGGGATGCTCACCCAACCACCCACCCAGCACTCAGGTGTCGCTTGTTAGGAATTTGGTTACCCCTTTGCAAATAAGCAGTCCTTGGTCGCCTGTGATGGCCATGGCTCACCTTTGTCGAGCCTTAGTGCTCAGGGCATCGTTCCGGACTCAATGTGCCAGGAAAAAACATGTAATACCTAAAGCAGTTAGCTTGCTGCTGGCACCGCAGTCCCACATCACGATGGTCCAGCAAAACCATAAGCTGCCTTCTTACGACTCACCTGAGGCTCTGTCAAGGCTGAGAGACCCTGCTGAAACCTGGGCAGCAAAGTCACACTGCAAGGACGCATTCTGATCGCCGCTCAGGGCCGGAATTATTAAACAGGCTACCACAACCTAATGGTCTTGGCTTGCTTGGAACCGGAGTTCGACATCTCCAGCGAACCTTCGAAGTGGCAGCCAAGGATCGACACAGGCCGCGATAGGCGTGGAGGCCCCGTCGTCGCCTAGGTTTGCCGGGAGTCTCAGACTTTCGAAACCGCTTTGCGCGCTCAGCGTCTCAAGGCACGGGCTTGGGCCAGTGGCCTTGGCTGTTTTAACTATCTCATTGAACTGCGCTCTATTCTGTAGAATCTGGTCAAGAGCACTACGATCTTACTTTTCCCCACTGTCGGCAGGTCCATTAACAAAGGCTCGCGGTCCAGCTGCACTCCGCAATTTGCATGTGCATGCAGAGTGGCAGAAGGACGGCTCGATTCGAACATTCACCGTCGGCGTTTCACGAAATCGATGTCGTGCCTCTGCCGATCGGCAGAAATTTCGTTTGAAGCTTCAGAATTCGTCTCAGCTTCTAATCCTGCACGGCAGACGATCAGCCCGTGCGATACTGCGATACTCTCGTCAACGGAACATCCCAGTCCTTGCTGCCGTTAGGAAGAAGCGGCGCCTGCAAGGAATCGCACGCCTGCTCCAAGGCGGTGAGGACCTGGTTCCATCATCCGAGCGGCCAAGCTGCGCTCACCGTGCCCGGCTGCCTTCTCGCGGTCATCATGCAACTTCATGATGGCCTCCTGACAGCCAAAAAAGGCTTAGCCAGGCAGCTGTGATGCTGACGAGTCGAGCGGCAATGTGCTCCGCTCGCTCCGCGAGGTAGTGCCAGCGTCTGAGCGACACCACGACACTTCCGACGCGGGTTCCACAGTGGCACCAGTGAACCAGTGAGTCTCAGCCCAAGAGGCAGGGCCACGAGAAGCACCATGCCGGCCAAGAGCAAGGCGACGAGGGCGGCGACCGAAACCAGGACCTCCAACTCCAAAGCCATGTGCCGTTCGCAAACATACAACGCGCATCAACACGGTATAGCAGAGCTAGAACATACTAGAACTGCTGACGATACGGCACGCATGATCCCCATATGGCTTCCCTCAACATGTCGTGTTCGGGACAGCGGCTGGTCAAGATTGGTCCCATAGACGAATTGGCACACTAGGTAGCGTTAAAACCATGCACTTGAATACGATCCTGTGCAACTGAAAATGGGCTTCGCATCCGAAACGACAAGAAAGCATGAAGGGCGAGCGATCACCATGGCTCCGAGACACCTGCTGTCGGCCATGATGTAGCTGACGTCGCAGGGCCTAGCAAATGAGACATACCGAGATCACTTCAGGAGTCACTGCCCATGCTTGTAGGAGAAAAGCTTGCTTAGGCTTAGATGCAGGACCTGTACGGTGTGTTTGGCATTCTGCTCTGCTTTCTCGTGGCGTTCAGCTGCCTTTGCTTCTCTCTCTTCGGCAGCCTGAGATTCCGCCTCCCGCTTCTTTGCCTCGTCAACTGCTTGATGCGCCCAAGCAGATTCCTGCTCTGTCGCTCTTTGTTTGGCAATGGCCTCTGCTGCGACTCGCCGCTGCTCTCTCATAGCGACACTTGCTGCGGCATGCTGCCTTTGCAACTCCGATTGCAAATCCTTACGCTGCCTTGTCCAGGCCTTGGCCTCCTTTTCCCGTTCCCGCTTCGTTGCTTGCAACTTGCTCTGAAGCTCTTCAAGCTTCTGTCCGTGCTGCGAACTCGTGAGATCATTCTGATGGGCCTGGCTTTGGGATTCTTTGACATCCAGCTTGTGCAGGGTTTTGTTGAGATTATTCAGCTGTGCCTGCAATTCCTGCGTCCGCTGCCTCCACCGGGTCACATCTGCAAGGGCCGAGGCGCGGCTCACAAGGGCTTGCTGTGCCTGCGCCGAAGCCGTGGCTGCCCGGGCGTTTGCCTGGTCATGAGTTTGCATCCTCTACGGGACTCATGCCAAGCGGTGGAAACATCTTGGTTGTCGCACTGCGCTTGAAGGTCGAAGCACGCGTTTTGACGGAAACGCATGGTTCCCGACTCTATAGGCGTGCATCTACGTGTTCCGGAAGAGTCAAAGCGGGCTTGGATCTGTTGCCGCAGGCGCCCCATGACTAAGATGAATTCTGCTCTCCTTAAGCCAGGCCTCCTGGCCCTTCGCCCGGAGCAGTTGGGAAGTACTATAGCGAGCCTTTTGCGCGTCGCGCACACGCGGAGTCGGCGCGCAGCGCGCAAAAAGTCGAAAACACGAAAGACGCAAGACAATGCGAAAAAACGCGAAGCTCTCCGGACTGTCCGGAAAGCACCATGCGCCCAGCTTCGCACTCTGCAGACTGTGCAAGGCTCTCCCGCCATAGTAGAAAGAAACCCTGTGGGAAGTCTGGCAATCTAGCCGAGCAAGACACGGCAGCCGGCAAGAAATTTTGCAGACAACATAGTGACCGCCACTGCAAGGGGCCTCTGTTGCATTGGCGTCGGCGGCCTGCCTTTGCTGCATCAGTGCTGCTTCCCGACTTTGTTCTGCAGCTTCTCTGTTCCTCGTTTGGTTAAGCCTCTCTTGGCTGCG